CAGATGTGGAATAGGGTACCTGTCTGGCTCGGTAACAGCGTTTAACCGTCGAAAATCCCCGCATGGCCTCCATTCGCAACTTTTTTTTGCCATGTGCAGAGGGTTCGCTGACGGACTGCGAGATGGGCGACAAATGCCTGCGCGTAACAAGACCTGTAGGTATCTCGGCTTTTGCGGCTTTCAGTTTATCCGGAGATAACCGTCTCGGTTTGAAGAAAACTGGTGGACCTTTGGTAACGATGTGATGCGTGAGATAGTGTTGTGGTTGTGCGGTCGCAAAACTTTCTATCGTGATGTTTTTGAATTCACTCAATAGATCCTGGAATTGTTGACTCTTGTTGATTAATAATAAATTCAATACTACCTTCTTACCAGCTGGCAGCGACCAAAGTTTGGTTTTATTTGTCATATCATCGATCAGTTTCCGGTGTCGTAAGTTGGCCGGAAGGTTAAAATATGATAAAAAATCGGCCCCGATGATGGCCTGTGACACGCCAACAACGATAAAATTCCTGCGAAATTGTCGGCGAAGTCCCAAGTTGACAAAAATAACCTTTTCACCGTAAGTTTTTATGGTAGACCTGTTTGCTGCGTAGAGGTAGTTGTTTTTGTCAGGGTATCTGCGTTGTTGTTGCGTCGGTGGAACAACGCTAGCCTCAGCTCCAGTGTCTATAAGGAATTTGATTGCAGAGTTCTTGTCCAGAACGAGGAGGAGGCGGTTCGTATTGTTGAGCCTGTCGTTGACCGCCATTGACAACAGATTAATTAGTTTAACTTTTTGGAACATGGACTGCGAAATTTTTTGCGTCGTTGCCAAACTTCAGATGTTACCAACACATCCGATTCGAGTCAGTGTTTCGCAAGCAGAAGCGTGACGGAGGACGGTACCTGGTTCGACTTCTGGAGCGGTTATTTAGCGATAGGTACAAGTCGCTACTCGGTGGATTAAGGATTATATCACTTATTTTGGCCAGAACGTTACTCTCTATTGCCGCCACGACTGTGTGGTACTTGGT